GTCTCAAAATGATCCGCGCTGCCCTCACCTCCGCCGCGCCTCCCAAGAGCCCACGAAAGTTACGCCAGTCGCACAGCTCGCAACCTCCAAGGGAGCGCACAAGATGCAGGAGGAGGTCGGCGGAGGAGGCACGGAGGGGGAGGAGGCGGGGTGGCAGGAAGGGACGAAGAAGACGTTCGGGAAGTGCTCGATTCAAAACGGAAACCCCAAACAGGAGGGTTGGTGGAACATACCTTCCTCGGGAAGGCAGACATATTAACCAGCCTGGACCCGCAAAGAGTTGTCTCTAGCATAGTAGGTAATACATTCTACGTGGTACCAACTACGTAGTGAAAGCTATGCGATGTAAGCTACGTAGCGTGAAATATTCGATGTGAACTATGTGGTGCAGTCAGCGTGATGCAATATATGTGGTGCGATTTACAGTGTGTGTGTGTGTGTGTGTGTTGCGTAGTGTAACACATGTGGTGCAAGCTATGTGGTGCGATTGACTGTTACCAATGACTCGACGTGCCCCATGCTCCTGCAAACATCCCACCCACCCACCCGCAACTTGGTTTGTAAAACCCATGCGGTGGCGATTCCGATGCATGTGTGGCGTTGGTTGGTGCATCTCTGCGGCCGCGCCAACCCTAGCACGCGCGCGCAGCGGCCAGCTATTTGGCGCCGCCGACGCGGCCGCGGTGCCGCTGACCGCTGGGCGCATGCATCCCAACGGGCACTTCACTGCGAGTCAGCGACTTGGGCGGGAGGGGTATCATGACAACGCCGACTACGGTAGACGCGATGATGATAGTAGCGATATTGGTGACGATGTTCGCACCGACGCAGGCGCGGCCAGTGCGGGCGCTGATGCTGATCACGCCGACGACGATGTTTTGGAAAGAGTTCGACATGCGCGCGCGGCCGACGTGCGAGAGTGGCCCGTATGGATCTATTTGACACGGATCGTGCACCCCCAGCACGCGCACAACGTGAGAATGATGTCGGCATGCTGCGCCAGAGGCCCGTTCGGCTGAATCCCATGAAGATGTTGGAAAACCGATGGATTTCCAAAGAATACGCAAGAGCGCGCGCAATTTTTTTTTGAAAACTGATGTTGCGAAACCTTGTGTTTTTGAATGTTTGTTCACCCTCCGGATCTTCGCCTCCGGTCCCTGTCCGCGGCGTACCTTTTCCTGTGCAAGCCCTTCGGCCCCGCCTGCACCCCAGGCCCCGCCCACCCCGGCTGCCTGAGGCCCCGCCTGCCTGTGCCCTGTCTCCCTATTTAAAGCTGTGCGTAGCCCGCTTAGCTTTTAGCGGAGCGGAAGAGGTTCGCTCTCGCCCCGCCGAAAAAATATGCTTGTTTATTTGAACATTCAGTTTTGAAATCGAAACCGAAAGTGTTTGAAGGATTCCGGCATGCGCGCGCGACGGCGCGCGCACACTTCGTCCCATTTGTTGCAAAGAGTTTTCGCGACGGCACGCGCGCGAAGGCGTTCGAACGATTTCGACATGCGCGCGCGAAGCCCGTTTGGCAGCATGTTCTGAAAATGTTGAAAAACCGACGGTTCCCTCAAGATTTCGCAAGAGCACGCGCGCACGTTTTTTTTGAAAATCCGCGTTGCGAAACCCATGTTTTTATATGTTTTTGGACACTCGATTTTGAAATCTCTCCGAAACCGGAGGTTTTTGAAGGATTCCGGCATGCGCGCGCAACGAAGCGCGCGTGTGCACTTCGTGGCGTTTTTGCAAGAAAAAATATTGGAAACTGTCATTTTTGAAAAACGAGTGCGCGCGCATAATATGTTTTGCGGAGGACGGCGGGGGGGTCGATACAGGCTCGGCTGGGATGGTACGGTTTCATATGTAGGAGGGACGATGGGGCAGAACCATATGTAAATTGCAATACGAGAAGGGAGTCCATTGGGGGGGTCCATTCATTGTCGTTCTACAAAAAAGAATTCACTCCCTTGCACCGCGCTTGACCACTTCCCATGCTCTTGCAAGCATCCCACCCACCGACCCGCAACTTGGTTTGCAAAACCCATGCGGCGATTGCCATGGGTGCTTGGCGTTGACTGATGCATCTCTGCGGCCGCGCCCACCCAAGCACGCGCGCGCCGCAGCGGCCAGCCATTTTGGCGCGACCGACGCGGCCGCGGTGGCGCTGAACGCTGGGCACATCCCAACGGGCACTTCAGTGCATATCGGCGACCTTGGTGGGCGCGGTCTCATGGCAACGTGGACCACGGTAGACACAATGATGATGGTAGCGATGCTGGTGGCGATGTTGACAACGACAACGGCGCGACCACTGCGGGCGCCGATACTAATCACGCCGACGACGATAACGGCATCCTCGCTTCGGTGATAAAGGTTTTGGAAAAAGTTCGACATGCGCGCGCGACCGACGCGCGACAATGGCCCGCATGGTATTGTTTGACACGGATCGTGCCCCCCAGCACGCGCGCAAGGGCGTGCGAATTTCGGCATGCGGCGCCAGAGGCCCATTTGGCAGAATTCCATGGACATGTTGAAAAGCCAATGATTTACTAAGAATTCGCAGCAGCGCGAGCAAGCTCTTTTTGAAAACTGATCTCGCGAAACAATGTGTTTATATTTGTTTTGGACACAGAGTTTTGAAATCGCTACGCAACCGACGGTTTTTGACGGATTACGGCATGCCTCGCGACGACGCGCGCGCGTGCACTTCTTCCCATTTGTTTCAAAGGTATCTCGCGACGGCACGCGCGCAAGGGCGTTCGAACGATTTCGACATGCGCGCGCGAAGCCCGTTGGGTAGTATGATACTGGAGAAAAACCATCACAATATGCTTAGGGATATAGGGCTATGGGGCTATAGGGCTGTAGCGCTATAGGGAGGGCTACAGGGCTATAAAGCTCTGCGGTTATAGGACTATCGGGCTATAGGGCTATAGGGCTACAGGGCTATAGGGCTATAGGGCTATAAGAATATAGGGCTGTAGGGCTATAGGGCTAGAGGGCTATAGGGCTATAGGGTTATAGGGCTATAGGGCAATAGGGCTACAGGGCTATAAAGCTATAAAGCTATAAGGCTATAAGGTTACAGGGCTATAGGGCTACCGGGCACCAAGGCACCCCCCTTCACCTCTGGGCACCCCCAGGCACCTCCGGGCACCCCCCGGCACCCGGGCAACTGGGCATCCCCGGGCACCCGGGCACCGGGGCACCCGGGCACCTAGGCCGGCCACCGAAATTGGCGACGAACCTCACCTAACCATATGAATCGGCTAGGACCCCTACACAGGCAAGCTCTGATTGGGGAATGTTCTGAAAATGATGAAAAACATATGGCTGTTTGAAGACTTCGCAAGGGCGCGCGCGCGCAAGCTTTTTTTGAAAAATCCGTGTTGCGAAATCCTGTGCTTTTAGATGTTTTTTGGACACTCGATTTTGAATTCTCTACGAAACCGAAAGATTATAAAAGATTTCTGCATGCGCGTGGGACAACGCGAGCGTGCGCACTTCGTGCGCACTTGAATGCATCCGATAAGTTCGGGGGGGTAGGGTCTATTCTCTCTTAAGACAGGCAAATTTACGTGGACTAATCTATGTAGTGCAATTCAAATAGTGCAATATATGTGGTGTGAGCTATTTGGTGGAAGCTATGTGATGAAAACTGTGTGAAGCCAACGTACTCATCTAGGCGGCGTGAACAATGTGGTGTCAAGTAAGTGGTGCTATCTATGTGGTCCGATCTTTGTGGCATGAGAAATATGATGCAGTCTATGTGATGCAAACCATGTGGTACGATCTATGTGGTGCAGCTATGCAGCGCAGTCTTAGTGGTGCAAGCGATGCTGTGGAATACATGTTGTGTGAGCTATGTAATGCAAGCTGTGTGGCGCCACCCATGTGGTGTGAGCTGTGGTATGTGCGCTACGCGATATAAATCATGAGGCTGTGCGCTCTATGTGGTGCAAGCTATGCGGTGCAGTCTATGTGGTACAAACCGTGACACCTGGAGACCACACTGGCCAACATGTCTTTCTTTGGCGCAGCGCGAGACGGCGACGGGCGGCGACGAGGCGGCAACGGGCGGCGACGAGCGGCGACGGGCGGCGACAAACGACGACGGAGCGGCGACGGGACGAGAACAAGGGGGCCGGGGCGGCAGACCGCTCCTGGAAAAACGGATGAGAAACCCTGAGTGCAAGCACTGTCTGGGAACTCGCTCGCGGGATGGAAGCCCTTCCCCGACGGGAAACATTCTTTCAGGTACACCTTACTCCAGAAAAGAAAACCTTCCTCAAAGAAGGAAGAACCTTCCTCGGGAAGGAAACACCTTCCCAGAAACCCTTCCCTTCGAAGGAAAAAACGCCCTCCGCTGGGGGATAGCCTTCCCCGTGAAGGACGAAAATGGGTAGGGGCCGGCGTTGGTGCCGAGGCGGTGTGTCGGACGAGGAAAGCAACGGCGTGGATCGACGACGTGAGCAACACCTTCACGGAGGCGATCGCGCGCTCCTTCTAGGAGGGCACCAGCTATACACCCACACCGATCCTGGCCCCAGGATGGGCCCAGCCAGGTTGAGTGTAGGTGCACGGTTGGTGCCGTCCGACCTTCTGGCGTGCCGCCATCGTGACGGATCGAATCTGCCAGGCGCAGAGCTGACAAAACCTGTAACGTTCGATGCTGGCCACAAACCTTTGTTTGTCACAATCGCCGAAATGGGATTTGCATTGTATGCGCTGGCCGCTGTTCAAAGCTGCGCTGACCAACGCAGTCTCTGTACGCGGCACTACGGGAAAGCCAAGGATGCTTGAATAACGGCTGCAAACGAATCCAAATACAATGTCACATCTGTACGGTGATTATCTACAGCATCTGTAAAGCCACTGCTGCAATGAACCAAGACAACCTCTCTCGCGCCATCCGCTGTTGGGCGGCGCCATAAATCATTGTCGTGACTGACACGATCCACTTCCCAAATTCATGAATGCTGCGAGAATGTCGCGACAATTGACGAGCTAGCGACCTAGCTGCAATACATGTAGCACTCGCCAGCCCACTCCCGGCAAGGCGTGGCCGCCTTGCCAGAACACGTCTGGCTCGCGCTGCAGGTGCCGTTGACGTGGTCCCCGTCGGCTCCGAAGCTGCCGCACACCTTGTGGCAGATGCTGGGAGCGCCCACCATCGCCTCGCCATCGGCCGGCGGCACGCATGCGAGTCCCGAGGAGCAGTCGCCGTAGAAGTGGCCGTCCGAGCCGCTGCTGCCGCACTGCTGCCCCTCCTGCTGCCCCACCTTCTGGCAAGTGCTCGGCGCGCCCACGGGCGAGCCCGCGGCAGGAGCCACGCACTCGAGTCCCGAGGAGCAGTCGCCGTAGAAGTGACCGTCCGAGCCGCTGCTGCCACATTGCTGCCCTTCGCCCTGCGCAAGTCGGCGATCAGCGCCGTCGCAGTACATGTAGCACTCGCCAGCCCACTCCCGGCAAGGCGTGGCCGCCTTACCAGAACACGTCTGGCTCGCGCTGCAGGTGCCGTTGACGTGGTCCCCGTCGGCTCCGAAGCTGCCGCACACCTTGTGGCAGATGCTGGGAGCGCCCACCATCGCCTCGCCATCGGCCAGCGGCACGCATGCGAGTCCCGAGGAGCAGTCGCCGTAGAAGTGGCCGTCCGAGCCGCTGCTGCCGCACTGCTGCCCCTCCTGCTGCCCCACCTTCTGGCAAGTGCTCGGCGCGCCCACTGGCGAGCCCGCGGCAGGAGCCACACACTCGAGTCCCGAGGAGCAGTCGCCGTAGAAGTGACCGTCCGAGCCGCTGCTGCCACATTGCTGCCCTTCGCCCTGCGCAAGTCGGCGATCAGCGCCGTCGCAGTACATGTAGCACTCGCCAGCCCTCCCGGCAAGGCGTGGCGCCTTGCCAAACACGTCTGGCTCGCGCTGCAGGTGCCGTTGACGTGGTCCCCGTCGGCTCCGAAGCTGCCGCACACCTTGTGGCAGATGCTGGGAGCGCCCACCATCGCCTCGCCATCGGCCGGCGGCACGCATGCGAGTCCCGAGGAGCAGTCGCCGTAGAAGTGGCCGTCCGAGCCGCTGCTGCCGCACTGCTGCCCCTCCTGCTGCCCCACCTTCTGGCAAGTGCTCGGCGCGCCCACGGGCGAGCCCGCGGCAGGAGCCACGCACTCGAGTCCCGAGGAGCAGTCGCCGTAGAAGTGACCGTCCGAGCCGCTGCTGCCACATTGCTGCCCTTCGCCCTGCGCAAGTCGGCGATCAGCGCCGTCGCAGTACATGTAGCACTCGCCAGCCCACTCCCGGCAAGGCGTGGCCGCCTTGCCAGAACACGTCTGGCTCGCGCTGCAGGTGCCGTTGACGTGGTCCCCGTCGGCCCGAAGCTGCCGCACACCTTGTGGCAGATGCTGGGAGCGCCCACCATCGCCTCGCCATCGGCCGGCGGCACGCATGCGAGTCCCGAGGAGCAGTCGCCGTAGAAGTGGCCGTCCGAGCCGCTGCTGCCGCACTGCTGCCCCTCCTGCTGCCCCACCTTCTGGCAAGTGCTCGGCGCGCCCACGGGCGAGCCCGCGGCAGGAGCCACGCACTCGAGTCCCGAGGAGCAGTCGCCGTAGAAGTGACCGTCCGAGCCGCTGCTGCCACATTGCTGCCCTTCGCCCTGCGCAAGTCGGCGATCAGCGCCGTCGCAGTACATGTAGCACTCGCCAGCCCACTCCCGGCAAGGCGTGGCGGCCTTGCCAGAACACGTCTGGCTCGCGCTGCAGGTGCCGTTGACGTGGTCCCCGTCGGCTCCGAAGCTGCCGCACACCTTGTGGCAGATGCTGGGAGCGCCCACCATCGCCTCGCCATCGGCCGGCGGCACGCATGCGAGTCCCGAGGAGCAGTCGCCGTAGAAGTGGCCGTCCGAGCCGCTGCTGCCGCACTGCTGCCCCTCCTGCTGCCCCACCTTCTGGCAAGTGCTCGGCGCGCCCACGGGCGAGCCCGCGGCAGGAGCCACGCACTCGAGTCCCGAGGAGCAGTCGCCGTAGAAGTGACCGTCCGAGCCGCTGCTGCCACATTGCTGCCCTTCGCCCTGCGCAAGTCGGCGATCAGCGCCGTCGCAGTACATGTAGCACTCGCCAGCCCACTCCCGGCAAGGCGTGGCCGCCTTGCCAGAACACGTCTGGCTCGCGCTGCAGGTGCCGTTGACGTGGTCCCCGTCGGCTCCGAAGCTGCCGCACACCTTGTGGCAGATGCTGGGAGCGCCCACCATCGCCTCGCCATCGGCCGGCGGCACGCATGCGAGTCCCGAGGAGCAGTCGCCGTAGAAGTGGCCGTCCGAGCCGCTGCTGCCGCACTGCTGCCCCTCCTGCTGCCCCACCTTCTGGCAAGTGCTCGGCGCGCCCACGGGCGAGCCCGCGGCAGGAGCCACGCACTCGAGTCCCGAGGAGCAGTCGCCGTAGAAGTGACCGTCCGAGCCGCTGCTGCCACATTGCTGCCCTTCGCCCTGCGCAAGTCGGCGATCAGCGCCGTCGCAGTACATGTAGCACTCGCCAGCCCACTCCCGGCAAGGCGTGGCCGCCTTGCCAGAACACGTCTGGCTCGCGCTGCAGGTGCCGTTGACGTGGTCCCCGTCGGCTCCGAAGCTGCCGCACACCTTGTGGCAGATGCTGGGAGCGCCCACCATCGCCTCGCCATCGGCCGGCGGCACGCATGCGAGTCCCGAGGAGCAGTCGCCGTAGAAGTGGCCGTCCGAGCCTCTGCTGCCGCACTGCTGCCCCTCCTGCTGCCCCACCTTCTGGCAAGTGCTCGGCGCGCCCACGGGCGAGCCCGCGGCAGGAGCCACGCACTCGAGTCCCGAGGAGCAGTCGCCGTAGAAGTGACCGTCCGAGCCGCTGCTGCCACATTGCTGCCCTTCGCCCTGCGCAAGTCGGCGATCAGCGCCGTCGCAGTACATGTAGCACTCGCCAGCCCACTCCCGGCAAGGCGTGGCCGCCTTGCCAGAACACGTCTGGCTCGCGCTGCAGGTGCCGTTGACGTGGTCCCCGTCGGCTCCGAAGCTGCCGCACACCTTGTAGCAGATGCTGGGAGCGCCCACCATCGCCTCGCCATCGGCCGGCGGCACGCATGCGAGTCCCGAGGAGCAGTCGCCGTAGAAGTGGCCGTCCGAGCCGCTGCTGCCGCACTGCTGCCCCTCCTGCTGCCCCACCTTCTGGCAAGTGCTCGGCGCGCCCACGGGCGAGCCCGCGGCAGGAGCCACGCACTCGAGTCCCGAGGAGCAGTCGCCGTAGAAGTGACCGTCCGAGCCGCTGCTGCCACATTGCTGCCCTTCGCCCTGCGCAAGTCGGCGATCAGCGCCGTCGCAGTACATGTAGCACTCGCCAGCCCACTCCCGGCAAGGCGTGGCCGCCTTGCCAGAACACGTCTGGCTCGCGCTGCAGGTGCCGTTGACGTGGTCCCCGTCGGCTCCGAAGCTGCCGCACACCTTGTGGCAGATGCTGGGAGCGCCCACCATCGCCTCGCCATCGGCCGGCGGCACGCATGCGAGTCCCGAGGAGCAGTCGCCGTAGAAGTGGCCGTCCGAGCCTCTGCTGCCGCACTGCTGCCCCTCCTGCTGCCCCACCTTCTGGCAAGTGCTCGGCGCGCCCACGGGCGAGCCCGCGGCAGGAGCCACGCACTCGAGTCCCGAGGAGCAGTCGCCGTAGAAGTGACCGTCCGAGCCGCTGCTGCCACATTGCTGCCCTTCGCCCTGCGCAAGTCGGCGATCAGCGCCGTCGCAGTACATGTAGCACTCGCCAGCCCACTCCCGGCAAGGCGTGGCCGCCTTGCCAGAACACGTCTGGCTCGCGCTGCAGGTGCCGTTGACGTGGTCCCCGTCGGCTCCGAAGCTGCCGCACACCTTGTGGCAGATGCTGGGAGCGCCCACCATCGCCTCGCCATCGGCCGGCGGCACGCATGCGAGTCCCGAGGAGCAGTCGCCGTAGAAGTGGCCGTCCGAGCCGCTGCTGCCGCACTGCTGCCCCTCCTGCTGCCCCACCTTCTGGCAAGTGCTCGGCGCGCCCACGGGCGAGCCCGCGGCAGGAGCCACGCACTCGAGTCCCGAGGAGCAGTCGCCGTAGAAGTGACCGTCCGAGCCGCTGCTGCCACATTGCTGCCCTTCACTCTGGGCCTTCGCAAGAAAGCGGCGGTTCCCGCTGACAGCACGTTCCTTGGCCTCAGCACCAGAAGACATGGACCCGATGGCCAAGAGGCACATGGGCAACATGGCAAAGGCAGTTGTCATGTCGACTGCAGAATCACCCGGGTGGGAGAGCAAACGGAGTCCAGCGCTCCAGACTAGAGCACCTGAGTCAGAATGGCTTGAGCCAAAATGGCGACGGAGATGCTGGCCACAAACCTTGAGGCAAAATGGATGCGAATAGGCCTGTGTAGCATGTCTGCCAGGACAAAATTGGTTACGGACAACTCAGAAGCCTCTCAGAGGCCTATCGACGTGCATTAAGTGTAGCGCAATGAATGTATGTATGGCGCCTCCTCTGTGTTGCAATCAATACGGCACAATATACACCACCGTGCACCCTGGCACATTCAGGCGCGGCAGAATGCCATGTGGTGTCTGGCAAGGCTTCTAGATTCGCATAAGGGACCCACCCCTGTAATCGCATCCCCTTGCGTGCATCGCTTCTACTCCCTGGGCCACGACCCCTCGTCAACAACGATGGATCCACGTCCGGAGCTTCCAAGACGGCCCATGCAGGCAACACAGGACACCAAGACGGCCCGAGATGCCTCGAAGACGGCCCAAGATGGCCCCAAGGCGGCCAAATACGGCCTGAAGATGGCCCAAGATGCCTCCAAGAGGGACCAAAAGGGCCACAAGGAGGACCTCCCCCAGGGGCCGTAGAAACTAATGATTCCTCGCCTTCTCAGGCTCCCTTCGGCCCTTGACGGCCCAAGAAGCCTCCACGGTGGCCCCAAGAGGCCCCCGCCCCGAGATGGCCCAAGAGGGCCCCAAGTTTGCCCAAGAGGCATCCAAGACGGCCCCAAGACGGCTCCAAAAGGCCTCCAGTGGAACCCAACACGGCATCATAAGACCCTTCCTACGGCCCAGGATGGCGCCAAGATGGCCCCACGATGGCCCACAGACGCCCACCACACGACCAACAGGGTCCCAACACGGCCCAAGAAGGCCCCGAGGGAGCCACAAGACTGCGTCACGGGAGGCCTAGACAGCCCCACGAAGGCCGAAACGAGTTCCATGGGAGCTCTTCAAATAGTGAAGACGACATGTGTCACATGTGACGGTTTTCCTCGTCTTCCTCTTTCTATGCCTCCTCGTCCACCTCTTCCTCGAAACAAGCATCATCATCATCATCATCATCATCATCATCATCATCATCATCATCATCATCATCATCATCATCATCATCATCACCATCATCATCATCATCATCAGCAGCAGCAGCAGCATCATCAGCAGCAGCAGCATCATCAGCATCATCAGCATCAGCATCATCATCAGCATCATCAGCATCATCAGCATCAGCATGATCATCATCATCATCAGCATCATCATCATCATCATCATCATCATCATAATCATCATCATGATCATCATCACGACCACCCATCATCATCAGCATCATCAGCATCATCAGCATCAGCAGCAGCAACAGCATCAGCATCATCATCATCGTCATCATCATCACAATCATCAGCATCATCATCACCGTCCTTCTCATCATCATCAGCATCATCACCATCATCAGCTACATCATCATCATCATCATCATCATCAGCATCATCATTATCGTCATCGGCATCGGCACCAGAATCGGCACAAGCATCATCACCATCATCATCATCATCATCAGCATCATCATCATCGTAATCACCATCATCATCATTACCAGCATCGGCAGCATCAGCAGCATCAGCAGCAGCAACTGCCACAGCAGCAGCATCATTATGATCCACCACCATCCTCAAGCACAACACAAGTATCATCATTACCATCGTTTCATGTACGCCACCTGCATCGTGCTCGTCAGTACCAGCAA